GTGACATTTAATCTAGCTTCAGGTCGACATTTAGAGCCCTGCCAGCTTTTAAACTTCTCAGATGCATAAAATTGATCTGCAGCTATTGTCGCTGTATTTATACTCTGTCAGCCACGCCTCCTTTAGTGCACCCTGAGGATTCTGGGAAATGTAGTTGTCACCGCACTTTCTTTATTTTACAACCTAGGTGGAAAATAAAAAAGTAAATATTACAAGTAAAAAAAATCCTTAAAATTCAAATGTTCCAGACATCACACCAGCTAACCATTTTGACTTTATGTTTTTATTATTTTATAAAATGTATCATATTTTTGTTTTATTAATTTGTTTATGTCCCTATTATTTGTGGTGCTAGATCTGTAGTGTACAGTATTGCTTTTAGGTATATTTACCCTGTTTTGTAAGGTTGTTATCTTATGTACTTACACCTTTGCTCCTTCAGGTCATCTAAGGCTAGCTTGCGCAACTTTGCCAATAAAAATAGAGTGTAGAGAAGCTGCCTTCTGGTATTAATGACCTTTAATAATATTTATATTTGAATAATTACATCATTTAAAACATACTTTTTAACTTGATTTATTTATTTGTTATCTTTCATACTTGTTTTGTTTTTAATTCAGTTTTTTTTTAATGTATTCTTCATTTTTTTTATATAGTGTCTTGAAACTCCCATTTGGATATAAACCATCTCTATTGAATTACAGAACAATATCCCCAAATGGAAACACCTCCAGAAACTTAAAATACATAAATAAACAAATTAAAAACCTTGAAGTTGCTTTTACAATTAGTTAAAGGGGACCTATCACGCAAAATGCACTTGTTGATGTCTTTTATAACTAAAGATGTGTCCCCGGTGTGTCTGGGAACTCACGCAGGGTCAGAAAAATAAAACCCTCTCTCTTTTCCTCCGTACCCAAATCTCTAAAAACGGGGAACAACGGAGCTGATCCAGATTTGCGTCCGATATGACGTAATATCTGAAATGTGGACCCACCTGGTTACAAAGTGGTTCAAAAAAAGGCTTAGCAGCACATCCAACATCTATATTACTCCAGTGTGCATGTTTTCTTTAGCACCTGAAGTCACCACTGTGCCACCTAATGTTGGGTGATAATACATTAACAACAGTAATGATAGAATGCATAAAAGGGACATAACGTGACCCTGAAGGCATGCATAACATCTCTGAGTCTGCAGCAGTGAGAGAGATATCTGCAGAGAACGTCCACAGGTATTTATCTACAGAGAACCAGCAGCAAACACAGATTAGGGTTCATTTAAACTGCAAGCATGCAGATTAAATAACCTCAGTCAATGGAAAACAATAGGAAAAAAGGTAGACTTTTAAAAAGCAGAATTTATTTTTTATGGCTGGATTTTTATTCTTATTTGTATTTATTATTATGATTGTTTTATTCAACTATACATATACTTATTAATTAATATTCAGAATATTTATTTATATTATTTTGTTATGCAGAAAAAGGGGAAGTTAGGCTCTTATATATACACATCATTTAAACAATAAAAAATACTATTATACTTATTTCTAATTTATGTAAAATATAGTTTATTTATTTATGCATATTATTATTAATGTATATTAGGATTTTTTTATGACCATTTCATTTTAATTTAAAACATTTTAATGCTTTTTTATTATTAAAATTGTATTGCACTATTAATTAATTGTATTGATTATTTTTAATTTCTATATTATTTTTTTACACCTCAAAAGGTTCGACTCTCCTATATAACCATATCTTTTTTTAAAACACAGAAATGGAAAAGCAATTTAGAAGAAAAATTACATTTTTATGACATGATTTAGCTATACATTTTTATTTCCCCCATATTTTAACTATTTTTATCTAACTGTATATATTTCTTTAAATGAATACTAATCATTTTTTTTACTTAATTTGTAACTTTCCCCGTTATCACTCACCTTTATCACTTGGTCTTTCATCACCGCCGGTCCCACGAACAGCATAACGATTCCAGACACCACGGTCAGAACCCCTGCCACGATAAACCCAATCGCTATTTTGGATTTATTTAGAGCCATGATTACTAACAACGATCAAAGATTATTAAAAGTCAATTGAATGTCCTCTGCAGAGCCACCAACTTGCAAGAGGAACGCAGGGTTTTAAAGTCCTGGAGAGATGGAGGCAGAGGAGTGATGGCAGTTTATACTTTGAAAGACCCCTCCCACACACACACACACACACACACACACACACACACACACACACACACACACACACACACCTGCTGATATTATCTGCACACCAATAAACCGCAGCCTTTCATTCCTCCCTGCATGTTGACTTTATGGGATGCCACATACTCCAAATAAAAGAAGCACCTCTTTACACCTCACAGGGGTTTCAACCTTTTGTTCTCTTTTGGTGTATCCAGTTTTCTATTTTATGTGATTTTTATGCAAAATTAAACAAGTTGACAAGTATTTATTGCATTGTATTTCAGCACCAATGCCTGTGTGTAGAAGGGCCATACACTAACAAATATAAATGCATGATGTTATACCAAGATCTTTGGAGTCAACTATTTCACTTTTACATGTAAATGGCGGGGAGTTTCTCTCCCAATCACAACAGAGCTGGCCAGCTAACCAATCAGAGCAGACCGGGCTCTGGTTTCAGACAGAGGGTGAAAAGAGGTGCTGCAGCACAGGCAGTATGAGAAAAATAAAGAGCTTTCTGAACATTAAAGCATGAAGACATGTCACAGTAGAGAAACAAAAAAACGAATATGCACCTGTCACCTGTGTGAATCGAGCGTTATATCTATTTAGTTAGTTAGTGTGCCCTCTGGGTCAAACTCGTTCTTAGAACTTCACCTTGGAAGGCATGTCAAAATACCCTCATCCCCCATGTGGCTGAATGAAAAAGCTGCTCAGAGCTAAAGTAATGTTTACAGTGCATGACAAAGAGCTATGTGTTGTGAAAAGGTTGGACCTCTGTGATTAATGTTCTGAAAAGCAAACAGCAGCGCTCACTGAAAAACATTTTCTCAAACAAAAAGCCATTCATCTTTTTATATCGTCGTATTCATCAACAATCTCTCACAATTCCTTTTTTTCACAGCGTCAGACCTGCATACTTCTAATGTTTGCTCTGCAATAACACACATCCTCCCTGTCGCATATACATGCCTTGATGAGGAGAATTGTATTTGATTACTGATAATGACTGAGGCATGTTCATACCCATAGCCAAACAGTCCTGAAACATGTCATACTGTTCGGTTGTTTTGTGATCTACGTATAGAAACATGACATTCTGTTGTGTTTTAAATGTTGCTACTCTCTTTTGTTGTGGGGGAGGATTAGCCTTTATTTGAGAGTGACTACTCTATTGTTGGATCACTTGCTTCTCTCTCTGAGGAGGTCTTGAAAGGATAATTAATAATGCCGGATCAACTGTGATATCTAACCTTTAGAAGTATTACACTTTGGTGCTCTGTATTTTTGGGATCTATAACCAGCATTGTCAAGGTTTAAAAGTCCTTAATAGAATGGTGCAGTGATGACGTATTTGTGTAGGATGACCTGGAAGTTAGCATCATAAGGTTATAAAGGAACTACGGCACGGTCACATGACTTCATGTCAACACCGTTAAGCTAAAGTTAGCTAATGTTTGGTGTGATGACGTTTAGTCGTCTCATTTACACACTTGTTAGCAACCGCCGTTTTTAAATTGACCAGTGGGGTATATAGTGACGTTATACCACTGGGGTATTGTGACGTAAACCAAAACGTGAAATTCTCTTCAGCTTGTGTTAACCACAGATCTTATTTCAGGTTTACCAACAACACATTCAGAAAGCCATTGACCTCCAGACGAGGGAACTGGAAAAGTGCTGACTAATTTCTGCTTTTTAGGACTCACTCCTGCTCCTCTCTGTATGAGAGTGTCTGAAGGGTGTTGAAGATGAGAGCTGTTTGAAAGCGACCGAATCGTGAAATCACTGCACTAACTCACCACCGCAGACCCAGTGACACACAGAAGCATTACAAAAAACACACCCACACATATATTTCCTATATCAAAAGCCTGACCAACATGTCTTTCTCCTGATTTCATGTCTGTGTGACGAGCGGTGAGGAAGCCCAGGGGCGGTGGGCGGTGTGGGGGGGAAGGTGTCTGTAAATCATCTTCTGTGGGAAACCAGACAGAGAGAATCCACCACAGGCGTTTTCTCTTTGAACACCTATTTCACTAGATTTTCAGCAAAGAGATGACTGGCTCAAGGCGCAAACGAAATTATTTGTCTCACATTACCCGACGGATAATATGAAGTAGCTGCTCCTCTAAAAAAAACGAATTGATGTTCAAAAAGCTCTTTCTTTTTCTCATACTGCCCTCTGTCTGAAACCAGAGCCCAGTCTGCTCTGATTGGTTAGCTGGCCGGCTCTGTTGTGATTGGTCAACCGCAAAGAGATGTCCCGTCCCTTAGCCTATCACGTACAATGTGTTGGAGAGCTAGCCATTAAAAGCGCAAATGTTACTTAGTGATGTCACTATATTACAGACGTAAACAAAGGATTTTAGCCTTAGCAGACCATTTACGTGCACACAAATCTAAAGAAGACTCTACAGGGAAGGGAAAACTCAAAAAATTAGAATCGGGCCTCTTTAATTAAGCAAAAGGATCAAAACTATAGTTACAATACTTGGTTACAACTAAAACTAAGTAGGTAAACAGGTATTAACACCATAATATATTTAAATAACCATATATGTATACAGTATGTGATTTTTACAGTAAATTAGCTTTTGGTAAATGAGCTTTTGGTAGGTTATATATATCCATATATTTCTCCGGGTTTCAGGACCCCTTCCTGCAGTGCACAACTCTCTATTCCCCCTAAAAGGTGCATCACATAGATTGAAAGTACCCTGATGGTTTGCTCTCATGTATAAACCCTTATCGTGTTTCTCATGTCTCTCCCTCCCTCTCCCTGCAGGCAGTGGGCGAGTGAACCTGGTGCCCCTCCCCCCGGTGGTCACCAGCCCGCGGGACATGGCGCTGGCGGCGGTGATCTGCAGCGCGCTGGCCACCGTGCTGCTCGCCCTGCTGGTCCTCTGCGTCATCTACTGCAAGAGGCAGCTGCTGGAGAAGAAGCCCAGCGGTGAGTCTCAGCCTCTGCACATCTGCTGGTTCACAATATGTTTATTGGTATTTTCTTATTGAACAACAATCAACAACCATGTACATCACAGAGACATACACACACCCTCAACTTGCACCAGTATTAAAAGCATAATCAAATACATAAAACAACATCATTTCACAGTTTCCTTTCAGAGGCAGTCCACATTCCCATCCCTCATGATGTGCACATACGGCTCCCAGAGCTGAACAGAGTCTGTTCAAGTTGATCTCTGAATAAAAGAATTGGCTGAATCAGGACAGGTGTAACCTCTGATGAGTGGTGCTTTGAAACATGTCTTCAAAGATCAATGCAAACGCCTGAAGTTAGAAAACACTATTCATGCACTTCTGCTTAAGTTCCTACTTTTTACACAAATTCTGAAACATATTCAGTTTTCAGAACAACCAAACAATGAAGATTTACACAGTGATGAGCTAGCAATGGTGGAACGTACACACACTGCACTTAAGTTCATATTTGAGTATTACACATTTATTAAACAGCTTCAGTGACTTTTCAGATGTTGCATTAGAAAACATGTGGTAAACACAATGCATCTCTACTAACTGTTTAATGAGGGCTTTTCCTAACAGAGTAACTTTACAATTTAGAATGACTACTAGAGTACTTCCTTCACCCCTGGATATATGATGTGTTTTTGAGATTTACTGAGTTCTGTAGAAACTAGAAGCACATGTTTTGTTGCCGTGTTTTATTTCCTTGTGCACCACAGCCATTAAAGTTGTGCAAGAAATACAAAAATTGCATGTTAAAATATGAGTGGCACTTATGAATCCCTTAATAATCGCTCTTTGTCAGCTTCACAAACACGGTGCCAGTTCATCTGTCAGCCGTGATCTCCAGTGTTAAGCTTTATTAAACCCCGATGTTACATATTTGTGGGAACTTGAATAATGAGACGCATTCTTCAGACTAAAAGCGCTGGAGTATGTGAAACGTCCCGGGGCGAGGAGTTAATTACATCACGTTTTCCTGATGAACCTGAAAACAAAGATAGAAGTTAGCAAGGCGTGACCAGTCACCTGTTTTCACCCATGTTTTAGTGCAGGGTGAACACAAGTGAACTATTGTTTTACTCTAAACATGCGCCTCACCCTTCGCCCAAGCTGCTACTAAACACTCACAGTTTAAATTATACTCAAGAATTTTAATCGTCCTCATGGACCCGAGGGTTGTGAGGCATTCCTCAACACTTTACAGAGCATGAAAGAAGTTTAGTCAGAAGCACATCTGAAGCCAAGAGGATTTCACCTGACGGCGGCAATTAGACAACAAATCAAAATTCCAGGCTGTTTCTGTTACCATTTTTAATAAGGTTGGTATTCTGTTGAAGCAAAAGGGTACACATTTCTGAAAAAGCTAAACGTGAACAACAAGAATAAAATATAATAAAATTAAATAAAACTAATAAAATGCAATAAATAAACATGCAGAACAAAACGACCAACAGGAACAAAAAATTAATATATATATTAAAAAAAATGATGAGTATTTAGTTAATTTAGGAAAAGAGAGCAAAAAGGCGGGCTATTCTTTACAGGTCATAAAAGTACTACCTTACTTTAGCTAAGGGGAAGATTTGCATACATCTCATTACATGGTTTATGGTTTTAAAACATTTAGATTAGTAAGCTGAACTAAAAACTTTTAGAGGTTGTTAATAAACATTTCCAAAAGATAGGTAATGTCACTTTTGCAACCTGGCAACCCAAAACATGTCTTTGTCGCAGGTAACTGCACTTTGCAGACTTAACCCTCGTCTTGTGTTCGTTTTCCCCCCCTTACTTTGGTGTTCACAGTCAAATTTGACCAGTCCTGTTTTAACTGCTATTTAACACAAAACCATGAATCATCACCACATTTCATTTAACACCCTTTCAAACTGTACATATTGTATCAGACTACTGGTATACATGAACAACTGCAGTACACAAAGAATAGACACTGAACAATTATTGCGTGTGCCAGGTGTGATCCATGTTGGGGGATGGGCACATAAGGTGGGGAAAACACATCGTGTGTGTGTGTGTGTGTGTGTGTGTGTGTGTGTGTGTGTGTGTGTGTGTGCGTGTGTGTGTGGGGGTTTGTGTGTATGTNACAAATGGACCGTAGATACACGGATTGACCGTCTTCATCTGCGCTCTTATTTTGAAAGACAACTTCCGGTAGCAGAATATGAAAAAACGGGGGGGTTTTTTGTTTCTGTTTTCTAGTGATTTTATTTTTCGTTTTGAGAAGTAGAAAATGAAAATCATCCCGTGTTTTAAGTTTAGTAAATCCATTTTTGACCATGATAAAGAAATCCCCCTTGTATTTCAATTTTGGTTTTTCAATTTGAAAACGAAAATCAAATATCCAGTCGTTTTTTGTTTTTGAATATCCATTTGTGAAAAGAAAATCCAATGACCAAAACATACACTGACCAAGAATGGTTCCTTGATTTATTCTTTGGATTTGGCAATAAGGAAATACTCTTGACTTTGGATTAGAATGATCACAAGAATCAGAATCAGAATAGCTTTATTAGTCCCACAGAGGGGAAATTTGCAGCGTTACAGCAGGAAAGAACCACAGACAGCTTAGTGTTGCATATCTGAAATGCGTTAAAGTACTAAGTTATAATATAATAAACAAACAACACAACAATATGCTAAGTGGGAATCAATTAGTCAATTCATAGAAAGTCTGTTGTCAAATACTTTGGTAATCAATTAATCATTTGAGTCAGGAGTTCTTTAAAGGAAATGCAAAAGCTTTCCTGGTTTGAGCTTCTCAAATGGGAAGCTGCTCTTCTTTGTTTCATATGATTGTAGAATGAAAGGAACGGGACCCCGCCTCAATGCTGTATCCAGTCCTCTTAATATATCCATGGTTACTTGACTTTGTTTATATCTGATGCTTTTTCTCTAACCCTTCCTGTCCATACAGGGAAGTCCAGCAGTTCCGTGACGAGGTGCGTAACTCCCCCGAGGTGAAGTTTGCCGTGCAGGTTTTCACTGCAGTCAACAGCAACAACTTTGTGCGCTTCTTCAAGCTGGTGAAGGGAGCCTCGTACCTGGCCAGCTGCCTCCTGCACAGATACTTCAATCAGGTCAGGAACTCCTCCTGCTGTAATGACTTCAACTGAGATAACGTTGAAATAAATGCAGACAATCCAGGGAATAGTCTTTGTCCTGTTTTCACGAATGAAACAATAACAAGGGATACACAAATATATAGGAATGAATGGAGTTAGAGAAAGTACCTCGAACAGTCTTTTAAGCAGCACAATCCAGGCTTGACCCCCAAATCAAAACTTTGATCATCCGGCACTGAATGTACTTCCACCATAACGTACCTCATTTGGACTTCAAACTGACATACCTATCATTTTAACATATTCATTATTATCCAAGTCTTTATTATGCAAACACCTTTCATTTGAGAGGACATCCTTAAGTAACATTTTGCTATTCTTATTAGCTTCAGCCTTGCTACTGTTCCCGCTATGACATAATATAATGAAAATGTATCTTATTACAAAAAGGTTAAATAGGGGTTTGTTAAACATAGGACTGCATTAATACACATGATATGTTATGCTTGTTCTTACCACACACAGCCTTTGTAATGGTAAAGTAGTAGATGCTAATAAAATCTGTCCAGACAGAAGTGGGAGTTGTTCTTTAGTAATATCTGTACAAACGTGTGTGTGTGGTTGTGTGCGTGCAGGTCCGAGCTATGGCCTTGAAGATCATGAATACGGCTCACACTGTGGGTCCACGATCCACCGCGTTTCCAGTGGAGGATTTAGTTCGGATGTTGATGTTCCGCACCACTGAAGAGGGAACGGACTTCATCCAGCAGTACGGCCTCAACGTCAACGAGGGGTGAGTTTCTATTGAGGCTCTGAGTTTGAGTAACTTCATGTTATTGCAAGTCTTTGACTGGACGACGCCTGAGGTTCAAGACACCATTCTTCATATCTTCATTGGATTTGGTTCACAGTATGGTAGAGCTGAGTCGGATAGCCTTTCAGGAGCCAGAGCTGCCTCTGTCCCAGAAGAAGTCGGCGGTCATCCTCGCAAAGAGAAGTGTGCTGATCGGAGAGGTGGTGAACGGAGGCCCCCTCCCTAATCCCCCCCAGCACACCCCCGCCTGCAGCTTCGACCCCCAGAACAAGTACAGAGGAGAGGGCCCTCTGGCTGAGCCCACACAGAGCCTGTTCAAAGGTATGCCCTCCTTTCTACTGATCGAAACACTCACAAATAGTTTGTATTCCTTCATTTGCAGGACTTGCTTTTGCTTAGGACAAGAACAAAGGCAGTGTTTCATTTTCAACTAACCTTAATGTCAATGCTGTTGCAGAGTTGGACATTTATTTTTGTTATTTCCAGGTCTTGAAGTTACTTATCTGTTTCATTTTACGATTGTTTGCAAATCTACTTGAACATATTTTGAAAATAATTAAACACTTAAAAATGACTGAGTTAAATTGCTCAACAGTATTTACAGTGGGGCAAAAAAGTATTTAGTCAGCCACCAATTGTGCAAGTTCTCCCACTTAAAAAGATGAGAGAGGCCTGTAATTTTCATCCTAGGTATACCTCAACTATGAGAGACAAAATGAGAAAAAAAAATCCGGAAAATCACATTGTCTGATTTTTAAAGAATTTATTTGCAAATTATGGTGGAAAATAAGTATTTGGTCAATAACATAAGTCAATCTCAATACTTTGTTATATACCCTTTTTTGGCAATGACAGAGGTCAAACGTTTTCTGTAAGTCTTCACAAGGTTTTCACACACTGTTGCTGGTATTTTGGCCCATTCCTCCATGCAGATCTCCTCTAGAGCAGTGATGTTTTGGGGCTGTTGCTGGGCAACACGGACTTTCAACTCCCTCCAAAGATTTTCTATGGGGTTGAGATCTGGAGACTGGCTAGGCCACTCCAGGACCTTGAAATGCTTCTTACGAAGCCACTTCTTCGTTGCCCGGGCGGTGTGTTTGGGATCATTGACATGCTGAAAGACCCAGCCACGTTTCATCTTCAATGCCCTTGCTGATGGAAGGAGGTTGTCACTCAAAATCTCACGATACATGGCCCCATTCATTCTTTCCTTTACACGGATCAGTCGTCCTGGTCCCTTTGCAGAAAAACAGCCCCAAAGCATGATGTTTCCACCCCCATGTTTCACAGTAGGTATGGTGTTCTTTGGATGCAACTCAGCATGCTTTCTCTTCCAAACACGTCTAGTTGAGTTTTTACCAAAAAGTTCTATTTTGGTTTCATCTGACCATATGACATTCTCCCAATCCTCTTCTGGATCATCTAAATGCTCTCTAGCAAACTTCAGGCCTGGACATGTACTGGCTTAAGCAGGGGGACACGTCTGGCACTGCAGGATTTGAGTTCCTGGCGGCGTAGTGTGTTACTGATGGTAGCCTTTGTTACTTTGGTCCCAGCTCTCTGCAGGTCATTGATTAGGTCCCTCCGTGTGGTTCTGGGATTTTTGCTCACCTTTCTTGTGATCATGTTGACCCCACGGGGTGAGATCTTGCGTGGAGCCCCAGATCGAGGGAGATTATCAGTGGTCTTGTATGTCTTCCATTTTCTAATAATTGCTCCCACAGTTGATTTCTTCACACCAAGCTGCTTACCTATTGCAGATTCAGTCTTCCCAGCCTGGTGCAGGTCAACAATTTTGTTTCTGGTGTCCTTTGACAGCTCTTTGGTCTTGGCCATAGTGGAGGATGTTGTTCTTTAAACCGAGGAGTGTCTTGTGTATGTTATGTGATAATTGTGTGTGTCAGGAGGTGACAACTATTGACATATTACCGTGGGACATTGTGGGCAATCGTCATTTTTTCTTTTGGATAGGTGGTTGGAGTCGTCAGGTGTGTCTGTTGGTGATTGTTTCTGTGTCGAAGTTGTGTGTGTTGTGCCTGTGTGTCTATACCGCCTGTCCGGTATACCACTGTCGATTTTTAGGCCTACTACCGTTATTTGTTTACGTTGCCAAAATACACTTTTTGTACTTTGTTTTTTACCGTTTTGACGCTAGTAAAATTAATGCAATTTGGGAAAGGATGTGATTTGTGTAAGTTTAACAATAAATAACATTTTCGTTACCCGATAAAATTTCGGTTGAGTAGGAACCAGAGAGTTTGTGTGAGTGTGGTGTTGTGTGTGTGGTGTGTGTGTGTGTGTGTGTGTTGTTGTGTGTGTGTGTGTGTGGTGGGTTGAAGAAGGGGAGTAAGACAAAGTAAATGTAGCAAGCATATAGACTTGTCGAAGTTTAGAACAGCCGATGAGGTGAAGCAGAGAACATGCCGTGGAGCTTTCCAATCTCCAACTACGGACACTTCGGACTCACAAACCGAAGGACAGGTGTCGTCGTCTTCGGTTTAAATGCTTAACAAACTTACTAGTTGTCCCCAGTCATGTGTGTCAAGCTAAAGAGTTCGCATGTTGGTTGTGTGTTGTGTCTCCTCTCTCTTGTTCAAGGGTGTGTTTTTCTGTAGCCCCTCTGTTTTTTTTTTTGACGAAACCGGGCCAGGAAATCCGTCTTTACAAGCAGCCCTAAGGTCGTCGCAAGTCGAGGTTGGCCACAAACAATGGTGGAAGCCTACCGCGCTCCGCTACTACGAGTTGCAGTAGTAGTGTAAGGTCGATTGAAGTGTAGTTGCTAGTCATGTGAAAAAAGGGGAGGTTGAAACACACTCTTTTGCCCCTTATCGCCGGGAGTAACTATTATAACGGCCGAAATTTTTTTTTTAGCCGCGGTAAAAGGACTAATACTCCATTTAAG